GATGTTGGGGGTAGCAGTTTGTTTATTTATTTTTCCTGTGTTGGTTCTTCGTTTCTGTGCGAGGGCTTTCTCTAGTTGTGGCAAGCGGGGTCCACTCTTCACCGCGGTGCGCGGGCCTCTCGCTATCACGGCCTCTCTTGTTGCGGAGCACAGGCTCCAGACGCACAGGCTCAGTAGTTTTGTGGCTCACGGGCTTAGTTGCTCCGCGGCATGTGGTATCCTCCCAGACCAGGGCTCGAACCCGTGTCCCCTGCATTAGCAGGCAGATTCTCAACCACTGCGCCACCAGGGAAGCCGTATTTGTTTGTTTGATTGGTTGGTTTGTGTGTGTGTGTGTGTGTGTGTGTGTGTTTAAAAACTGCCATAACGGAATACTACTGTGTGAAGTCATCGCCTGCGTTTTTTGTTGTTTTTTTGCCCCCCTCCAGCATTATTTTTGGGATTTAGTTTTTATACCTCAGGGTTTCTCAAATTTAGCACTGTTGACATTCAGTACCAGATAGTTCTTTTTGGGGGGGCCGTCCTGTGCACTGTAGGGTGTTGAGCAGCATCCCTGGCCTCCACTCACCAGATGCCAGTGACAGCCCCTCCCCAATCAGTCGTGACGTTCAAAACGGTCTCCAGACACTGCCAAGGTCCCACCAGGGGGCAAAATTGCCCCTGGTAGAGAACCAGTATATATGTTAAGATGTAATTAGTTCCAGACATCTCCTTTGTATGTGGTATTTTTTTTCTCAGTGTTTTACTTTTGTTACCCACTTGGCTCCTTGGACTCTTTAATCAATAGAAATTGATAGGAAGCCAGATGAGGAATTGAGGCAGGGCTTTACTGGGACTCGTGCTGTGAGGGAGAGAAAACAAGTATCGGGGGCCCTTGCTCCCTCCCTGAGGCAGGGGAGCTGGTCCTTTAAATGGGATAGGGGGGCAGGTCCATGGGTCCCCCCAGAGGGGTGGCGTAGGTGGCCTCACGCCCTTGGTGGTGCTGTGTGCAGGTATCATGCACAGTACCCTGCTTTTCCCCCAGCACCTCAGAAATAGCAACTGGGTTTTTGGTCATTTTGTATCTTGTTCAGAATTCGCCACAACTGTGCTTGGATGCAGTTATTTTTAGTCCCTTATAGTTTCTTTGTATTCTGTTGCGGAGATTCTGGTGCTCCAGGAGATGTTTGTCCAGGTGCAAGCACTGCAGCAAAGGGTCCCAGGTCCCAGCCTATCTCAATTTGTGTAGTTAAGTGAACAAATTCTTCTTGTTAAAAACTGGGCAACGTATGGCACCAAATGGTATACTGTGAAAAAGAGGTCTCCCATGCCAGTCCTCATGTCACTTGGTTGAGCCCCTTGAAAGCCATCAAAATTTCCAGTTGCTTTTGTGAGTTTTTAGATCTGTGCATGTATCAACGTGTGTTCTTTAAGCCCAAGAAGACAACTGATGGATACATTTTCGATTGTAATAGAAAATGCCACATTGTCCTCAAAGTGGCTCCCCGGGGTGTGAAACGAGCTTCCCCCCCGAATTCTGGCCAGTACTTGAAAGCACACAGCTCTCAAGTTCATGGTGAGGTGGAAGGGTTGAGTCAGCTCTCACTTGTGTGGCTGGGTACACCTTACTCACCTAAGCTAGCTTTGCATCTTTTTGAAGTTTCCTTCTATGGCAAGATTCCCTGGCCACGTTTTGCAGAGCTCACTTTTGCTAAGAAGATTTGATTCTTCTGTCAATTTTAGTCCACAGTTGTTTTTTTTTTCTAGCATGTCTGATTTCTCAGAGTGAATACTTGCAGTTTTTGGTGTCCTGCAAGCTCTGATTTTTCTGGTGTTTTTCTTTCACGGAGGCACCTGCTGACCAGTATGATAGCCAGTAGCCACAAATCTTGTTTTTATTTAAACAGCTTAATGTGTATTTTTTTTCAAAAAGCTTCATTGAAATATAACTCACGTACCATACCATTCACCATTTGAAATGTACACTTTAATGGCTTTTCGTATTCACAGAGTTGTACAACCATCATCACAGTCATTTTTAAAAATAAATTTATGTATTTATATTTATTTTTAGCTGCATTGGGTCTTCGTTGCTGGGTGTGGGCCTTCTCTAGTTGTGGCGAGCTCGGGCTTCTCATTATGGTGGCTTCTCGTTGCAGAACACGAGCTCTAGGTGCACGGGCTCAGTAGTTGTGGCACGTGGACTCAGTAATTGTGGCTCGCGGGCTCTAGAGCGCAGGCTCAGTAGTTGTGGTGCACTGGCTTAGTTGCTCCGTGGCATGTGGGATCTTCCCGGACCAGGGATCGAACCCGTGTCCCCTGCATTGGTAGGCGGATTCTTAACCACTGCACCACCAGGGAACTCCCGTAGCAGTCATTTTAAGAATATCTTCACTAGGGCCTCCCTGGTGGCACAGTGGTTGGGAGTCCGCCTGCTGATGCAGGGGACACGGGTTCGTGCCCCGGTCTGGGAAGATCCCACATGCCGCGGGGCGGCTGGGCCCGTGAGCCATGGCCGCTGAGCCTGCACGTCCGGAGCCTGTGCTCCGCAAAGGGAGAGGCCACAACAGTGAGAGGCCTGCGTACCGCAAAAAAAAAAAAGAATATCTTCACTACCTCAAAAAGAAACCCTGTACCCTTTACCTGTCACCCCCTATCTCCCCAACCCCTACCCCAGCCCTAAGCAACCACCAATCTACTTCTGTCTTATTAGATTTCCCTCTTTGGGATATTTCATATAAATAGAATCATATAATATGTGGTCTTTTGTGATTGGCTTCATTTATAATGTTTTCATGGTTCATCCATGTTGTAGCATATGTCAGAATTTCCTTTTCAAGGCTGAATAATATTCCCGTGTAAGGATGGACCCCATGTTTATCCATTCATCTGCTGATGGACACTTGGGTGGCTGACACCTTTTGGCTGTTGTGAACATTTGTGTACAAGTATGTGTTTGAAGCTGTTCTCAACTCTTTTGCTAGATCCCTAGGAGTGGAATTGCTGGGTCATGTGGTAACTGTATGTTTACTCACTTGAGGAGCTGCCAGACCTTTCCCACAGCAGCTCCACCATTTTACATTCCCACTAGCAGTGAATGAGGATTCTGATTTCTCCACGTGTCACCAAGACTCGTTATTAGACTTTTTGATTCCAACTGCCCTAGTGGGTGTGAGTGTTACCTCGTCGTGGTTTGGGTTTGCACTTCCCTGGTGGCTCATGGTGTTGAGCATCTTTTCATGTGTTTATTGGCTCCCTGTGTACCTTTCTTGGAGAAATGTCTCTTTAGCTCCTTTGCCCACTTTTACTGGATAACATCTTTTTATTCTTGAGTTGTAGGAGTGTTTAAAAATCCATTCTAGATACAATTCCCTTATCACATATATGATTTCCAATTATTTCCTCCTATCCTGTGGATTGGCTTTTCACTTTCTAGATCATGTAAACACATCCCCAGTCTTGCCCCAACCCCTGTTCAGTCACCCTGGGTGAGCCCTCCAGCACCAGAAGCATTCCTTCTAGAACCTGGAAAAGGTTGGGGCTGGCTCTCTGGGGAGGTGGGGTGTGGGTGAGGTGGGGGTCGGCAGAGCAGAGGCTTCCCTGTGTGTGATGGGAATCAAACAGCTGTGCTGGGCCTGAGAGAGGCAGCAGAGGGACAGCTGCTCACAGACACTCCCCTGTTCCTTACCTGTGTACTGTGCCCTTAACATGTGCCCCCATACTGGGATTTATTATATTTATTATATATGCTATTAATATGGTTAATTCTTTCTTTCTTTCTTTCTTTCTTTTTTTTGTGGTACGCGGGCCTCTCGCTGTTGTGGCCTCTCCCGTTGTGGAGCACAGGCTCCAGACGCGCAGGCTCAGCGGCCATGGCTCACGGGCCCAGCCGCTCCGCGGCATGTGGGATCTTCCCGGATCGGGGCACGAACCCGTGTCCCCTGCATCGGCAGGCGGACTCTCAACCACTGCGCCTCCAGGGAAGCACGGTTATTTCTTTATTTTTAATTGAAGTATAGTTGATTTAAAATATTGTGCCAGTCTCTGCTGTATAGCAGAGTGACTCAGTTATACAAATACGTACACATATATGTACATTATTTTTTTATAATTCTTTTCCATTATGGTTTATCAGGATATTGAATATAGTTCCCTGTGCTATACATTAGGACCTTGTTGCTTATCCATTCTAAATGTAATAGTTTGCATCTATCAACCCCAAAATCCCAGTCCATCCCTCCCCCCAGCCCCCTCCCCCTTGGTAGCCACAAGTCTGATCTCTATGTCTGTGAGTCTGTTTCTGTTTTGTAGATGGGTTCACTTATGCCATATTTTAGATTCCACATATAAGTGATATTATTTGGTATTTGTCTTTCTCTTTCTAACTTACTTCACTTAGTATGATAATCTCTAGTTGCATCCATTGTTATTTTTTTGGCCTTGCCCAGAGGCTTGTGCGATCTTAGTTCCCCCACCAAAGATTGAACCCGGTCCCCTGGCAGTGGAAGCACGGAGTCCTAACCACTGGACGGCCAGGGAATTCCCAATATGGTTATTTCTTGTCCCTCCTCACTGGAATCTAAGAAGGATAAGGGATTTTTGCGGTCATTTACCACCATATTGTCCAGTGCAGAGACTGGTCCGGGACATAGGAGATGCTTAATGAGTATTTATTAGAGGAATCAGCCGCAGTTTTGTTTGTGCACACACAGAAAGTCTTGGAAACGTTACGCTGGTGACAATGTCTTTGGGGAGAGCGCTGGGGGACAGGGTGTTGGGACTGAGAGGATCTTTTTATTGACAATGGATTGCCACAAAAAGTCCTTATCCTTCAAAGAGACCCTATGCTTTTGTTTGGGCAGATTATCATTGTATTATTTAGTGTTTTTTTTTTTTAAAACTAGTTGCATAGAAATGTGTATGAAACGATCCCATTTTTCTAAAAAAATTAAGAGAAATCCTGAATATGGGCATATCGTCCTCGAGCACGGGGGGGGGGGATGCAAACAAAAACCACGACGCAGAGGTGGAGACAAATAGAAACCACACCCCCGAGGAAGCGGCATCTGTTAGGTACGCCCCCAGAAAGGCGGGGACAGATACAGCTACGCCCATGGGGCGGTCTCAGCCTCAAAGCCCGCCCTAGATGCACGGATTCTGTCTTAGAGCCCAATCGCGTTGCAGTGGGCGGGAACTCCAGTGCTTCCGCCCAAGATCAGTGGATGCTGCTCGCCCCTCCCACCCCAGAGGTTCCGCCAATTCCCGGAACGTCCCATCTCTTCCGGCCAGCCGGCCTCGGAGTGGTGGTGGTAGCTTCCGCCACCGCTGGGCGCGGCCCCAGTTCTCCGAGGCCAGCGGGGCTCAGCGAGGGTTGGGGCGGTCACAGCCCAGGGCGGAGCTCTACGGGCAGCGGGTAGGGTCGTTTTGACACGTCTCCTGCCCCATGGAGGTAGCTCCGAAGGCCGGTGGACCTCGGGGACCTAGGTAGGGGCTCCCGACGTTTTCACCCCGGGAGTCCGGGACCCCCGATGGTCCCCCCGCCAGACTCTCTCTGCCGGCGCCGGTCTGGGGTCCCACTGCCATGGTGGGCGAGTTGCGCCCCCTCCCAGTGCCTCAGTTTCCCTATTTATTTATTTTATTTTTGGCTGCGTTGGGTTTTCATTGTTGCACGCGGGCTTTATCTAGTTGCGGTGAGCGGGGGCTATTCTTTGTTGTGGTGCGCGGGCTTCTCATTGCCGTGGCTTCTCTTTGTTGCTGGACACGGGCTCTAGGCGCGTGGGCTTCAGTAGTTGTGGCATGCAGGCTCAGTAGTTGTGGCTCGCGGGCTCTAGAACGCAGGCTCAGTAGTTGTGGCGCACGGGCTTAGTTGCTCCATGGCATGTGGGATCTTCTCGGACCAGGGCTCGAACTCGTGTGCCCTGCATTGGCAGGCGGATTCTTAACTACCGTGCCACCAGGGAAGCCCAAGCCTGGCTCTCTTTAAGCCTTCCTCAATATCACCAAACCTAGTTTCTTTCTTTCTTTTTCTTTTTTTTTTTTTTTTTCCCCCACCTCCGCTTGCGGGATCTTAGTTCCCCAACCAGGGATGGAACCTGTGCCCCCAGCAGTGAAAGCACCAAGTCCTAACTACTGGCCGCCAGGGAATTCCCTCAGTATCACCGCACCTAAGCCAAATCACTGTAAGTCTTTTCTAGCACCCTCTTAGAGCAACCCCATGATTCCTTATGCTATGTGTTCTTCCTGGCTGCAGGGAGTGATAAACCCACTCTTTTCAACCACGGGCATGTGCCTGGTGGTCTTTGCCTGGGGAGGCCCTGATGGGCTAACACAGAAGCATTTCCGGCAGTGTCGGCACCTGGCAAGTATTATATTAGTGCAGCTGAGATTTTTATCATCATCCATCGCTCGTGCAGAAGGGTGCAGACCAATTTCTGACAAACGGCACATCCTCATTACTATTCATTTTCATCACAAATTACTTTCAAAAGCCAATTCTTGAATCTTGTGTTCGGGCATTTAAACCATTTCCTTCCATCTGCATTTTATTTCTTGTTGAGTGTGAAATAGTTCAAACAAAGGAAAGTTCAGAGACCAATAAAACAAATCCCTCGCATTATTTGCCACCCAGGTTTAATAAAATTGAACAGTGGCATTTTGGCTGCATAAAAATATAAAACATGTATTTGAAGCTCCCTTTGAAGCCCCTTCCACTCTCCCCAGAGGTAAGGGTTTAGCGTCTGTGAGTCTTTCTGTTTATGTTGTTACACTTTTACTACCTGAGTGAGCATCCTTGAGCAGTGTGTGGAATTCTTCTGTGGGTTTGGAAAGTTTACATAAATGTAAATGGTATTGTATTTCACATAGCTATCTTTTTTGAAAGACTATGAACCAGTCATTAAAATTGTATTTTAGGGCTTCCCTGGTGGCGCAGTGGTTGAGAGTCCGCCTGCCGATGCAGGGGACACGGGTTCGTGCCCCGTTCCGGGAAGATCCCACATGCCGCGGAGCGGCTAGGCCTGTGAGCCATGGCCGCTGAGCCTGCGCGTCCGGAGCCTGTGCTCCACAACGGGAGAGGCCACAACAGTGAGAGGCCCGCGTAACGCAAAAAAAAAAAAATTAAAAATTGTATTTTAGATTATCTGATGACAGAGGAAAGTGTTCAATATATATTATTAAATGAAAATGTTACAAAGCAGTATGTATAATATATATTTTTAAAATTTTTGTTGAAATATAGTTGATTTACAATGTGTAGTTTCAGGTGTATGGCAAAGTGATTCAGTTATACATATACATATATATGTATTCTTTTTAAGATTATTTTCCATTATAGATTATTACAAGATATTGAGTATAGTTCCCTGTGCTCTACAGTAGGACCTTATTGGTTATCTATTTTATATACAGTAGTGTATATATTTTAATCACAAACTCCTAATTTATCCCTCCCCACCTTTGGTAACCATAAGTTTGTTTTCTATGTCTGTGAGTCTGTTTGTGTTTTGTAAGTAAGTTCATTTGTATCTCTTTTTTTTTTAGATTCCGCATATAAGCAATATCATATGATATTTGTCTTTCTCTGTTTGATTTCCTTCACTTAGCATGATAATCTCTAAGTCCATCCATGTTGCTGCAAATGCCAATATTTCATTCTTTTTTATGGCTGAGTAGTATTCCATCATATATATGTACTGCATCTTCTTTATCCATTCATGTGTAGAGGGACACTTAGGTTGCTTCCATGTCTTGGCTATTGTAAATAGTGCTGCTATGAACATTGGGGTATGTGTATCTTTTCAAATTATGGTTTTGTCTGGATATATACCCAGGAGCAGGATTGCTGGATCACATGGTAACTCTATTTTTACTTTTTAAAGGACCCTCCGTACTGTTTTCCATAGTGGCTGCACCAATTTATATTCCTACCAACAACGTAGGGTTCCCTTTTCTCCACACCTTCTCTAGCATTTATTATTGGTAGACTTTTTGATGATGGCCATTCTGACTGGTGTGAAGTGGTATCTCATTGTAGTTTTGATTTGCATTTCTCTAATAATTAGTGATGTTGAGCATCTTTTAATGTGCTTTTTGGCCATCTTTACATCTTCTTTGGAGAAATGTCTATTTAGATCTTCTGCCCATTTTTTTATTTTTAGTTTTTTTATATATAGAGCTGTATGAGCCATTTCGATATTTTGGAAATTAATCCCTTCTGGGTCACATCATTTGCAAATATTTTCTCCCATTCTGTAGGTTGTCTTTTCATTTTGTTCATGATTTCCTTTGCTGAGCAAAAGCTTTTGAGTTTAATTAGGTCCCATTTGTTTATTTTTATTTCTATCACTCTAGGACAGAGATCCAAAAAAATATTGTTGCGATTTATGTCAAAGAGTGTTCTGCCTGTTTTCCTCTAGGAGTTTTATAGTATCCGGTCTTACATTTAGTTCTTTAATCCATTTTGAGTTTATTTTGTACATGGTGTTAGAGAATGTTCTAATTCGATTCTTTTATGTGTAGATGTCCAGTTTTCCCAGCACCACTTGTTGAAGGGACTGTCTTTTCTCCATTGTATATTCTTGCCTCCTTTGTCGTAGATTAATTGACCATAAGTGCATGGGTTTATTTCTGGACTTTCTATCCTGTTCCATTGATTTAATGTTTCTGTCTTTGTGCGCTTACCATACTGTTTTTTGTTTGTTTGTTTGTTTGTTTTGCAGTATGCAGGTCTCTCACTGTTGTGGCCTCTCCCGTTGCGGAGCACAGGCTCCGGACGCACAGGCTCAGCAGCCACGGCTCATGGGTCCAGCCGCGCCACGGCATGTGGGATCTACTCAGACCGGGTCACAAACCCGTGTCCCCTGCATTGGCAGGCGGACTCTCAACCACTATGCCACCAGGGAAGCCCTACCATACTGTTTTGATGACTGTAGCTTTGTAGTATGGTCTGAAGTCAGGGAACCTGATTCCTCCAGCTCTGTTTTTCTTTCTCAAGATTGCTTTGGCTTTTTGGGATCTTTTGTGTTTCCATACAAATTTTTTAATTTTTGTTCTAGTTCTGTGAAAAATGCCATTGGTAATTTGATAGGGATTGCATTGAATCTATAGATTGCCTTGGGTAGTATGTTCATTTTAACAATATTGATTCTTCCAATCCAAGAACATGGTACATCTCTCCATCTGTTTCTGTCCTCTTTGATTTCTTTCATCAGTATCTTATAGTTTTCAGAGTACAAGTCTTTTGCTTCCTTAGGTAGGTTTATTCCTAGGTATTTTATTCTTTTCGATGCAGTGGTAAATGGGGTTGTTTCCTTAATTTCTCTTTCTGCTATTTCATTGTTAGTGTATAGAAATGCAATTTCTGTATATCAATTTTGTATCCCACAACTTTACCTAATTCATTAATGAGTTCTAGTAATTCTCTGGCATCTTTAGGATATTGTACATATAGTATCATGTCGTCTGCAAACAGTGACAGTTTTACTTCTACTTCTTCTTTTCTAATTTGCACTACTTTTATTACTTTGTCTTCTCTGATTGCTGTGGCTAGGAATTCCAAAACTATGTTGAATAAAAGTGGCGAGAGTGGGCATCCTTGTCTTGTTCCTGATTTAGAGGAAATGCTTTCAGCTTTTCACCATTGAGTATGATGTTAGCTATGGGTTTGTCATATATGGCCTTGATTATATTGAGATATAGTCCCTCTATGCCCACTTTTTTGAGAGTTTTTATCATAAATGGATGTTGAATTTTATGAAGAGCTTTTTCTGCACCTCTTGAGGTGATCATATGGTTTTTATTCTTCAGTTTGTTAATGTGGTGTATCACATTGATTGATTTGTGGATATTGAAGAATCTTTGCATCCCTGGGATAAATCCTACTTGATCATGGTGTATGATCCTTTTGATGTATTGTTGGAGTTGGTTTGTTAGTATTTTGTTGAGGATTCTTGCATCTATTTTTCATCAATGATACTGACCTGTAGTTTTCTTTTTTTGTGATATATATATAATCTTAATTGGTTAAAATTTTTTAAAATTAATAAACCTTACCTTTTAGAGCAGTTTTAGATCTGTAGAAAATTTGAGCAGAAGGTACAGAAAGTTCCCACCTACCCTTTGCCCACCACACACACACACACACACACACACACACACACACACAACACACACACAGTTTCCCTGCCTTGCATTCATGTAGTACATTTGTTACAATTGATGAGCTGATATTGATACATTATTATTTTTAACATTTTTTATTGAAGTATAGTTGATTTACAATGTTGTGCCAGTCTCTGCTGTACAGTAAAGTGGCTCAGTTATACACGTATAGACATTCTTTCTTTTCATATTCTTTTCCATTATGTTTTATCACAGGATAGTGAATATAGTTGCCTGTGCTATACAGTAGGACCTTGTTGTTTATCCAGATACATTATTATTAACTAAAGTTCTTAGCTGACATTAGGTTTCACCCTTGGCTTTGT